TGCAAGTGTTTTTGTTTCCTTATGCGTTTATGTTCAATAAAAAAAAATGCATGGATTACTAGTAGACATTCGTATTTTTTAAAGAGATATGAAATCCCACGGGATTATAAGAGGACCTAAAATGAGTGTGTCACTTGGTCACCAATATACTCCATAAGATCAGATGGTATGAATTGTAATTTTTATTGTTAGATATATGCATATGAAAATTGCACGTATTTTACTGAGTGTTTTTGAATACCCACTCTTACAAATTTTTACAGGTTAGTTCGGATCGATTGAAATTGTGGAAGGGAGGTAATGTGGGCTGCCAAGTGGATCAAATGAAAAGAAAAAGAAATAAGTTTGTCGTCTTTAAATTTATCAATTAGTTTAATTTTGCTCCGAACGTGTTGTTTGAATTAGTTAGGAGTTTATGTTATGTTTAGATAAAATTTTCATATTTTAAATTTAGATATATAAATATTGCAGTTATTTGTTTAATAAAGAATTTTATTTTTATAGTTTCGCACTTAAAATAAAGAAAAATTAGTTTTTCGTAATGTTTCGGAGTTTATAGAAAATTGGGGCGTTACAACGACAAATGAAATTTTAGTGTGATTTTGTTAGGACTTCAGTTCTCGAAAAGGAGATCTGAAATGACCAAAATGAGAGACGATAGATAGAAAGAAACGAAGAGGTAAAAATGTCCAAGCAAATACAGAGCAAACAAAAGGAATAAAATTGGTAGGGAAATAAAGGGGGTAAAATTCATATAGAAATAAATGATAAGAGGCAAAATTGGTATTTAAAAATGACGTCATCATGACGCCATTGATGACACATTATGAACAGTGAAAATTAGGTCTCCTCTTTTATTGTTGTAGGAATTTTATCAAAATTAAGTTTTTATTAGTTTTATACTTCAAAAAATTATGAGTTAGTCACTAGCATTTTACTGTAAAGATTAAAAGTGTCCATTAGAGACAAAACTATAATGTTGTCATGAAGGGGGGAAAAATTTAGAGGGTGTTTGGTACCAATTTTTTGTAAAAATGTATTTTAGAATAATAAATTGATGGAAAATGTGTGGTTGAAAAATAAGGAAATTTTTTTGATGTACTGTAATTTTAATAAAGAATGTGTGGTTGAAAAAAAGAGAGAGAAAAATGTATTTTCAAAAAAAATGAATACCAAACGAAGCATTAATCAATGGTATAAAAATCAGCTCAATCCTATGTGTTCGACCCGAAAAACCAAGAATTGAGCACAAAGTCAACCCAGTTTGACATTAAAAAATCCTCTAATTAAAAATTTGCTCAAAACCCATCGACCAAACCAGTGTCTAGATAACCCGGACTTGCTCCAAAATTATCCAATTTTTTAGATAATTAAATTGAAACATTTATTTAGCCCCCGTTTGGTTCTGATTTTTCACCAAAAAAAAAAAATTAAATAAATAAAAAATCAATTATTTGATCATTACTTTCTTAACTCAGCCGTCGTTTTTGACTTCTTCATTGACAAGTATGATCTATTTTTCTTTCTAATGATTAAAAAATTAATTCTCAAAATCACTATCGAACAGAACCATAATATTTCTATCGATTCTTGTGTCTTCTCCAATATGCCGTATTCACCACATCACAGAATATCCATTGTTATTTGTTCCGATTTCTCTACTTGATTCTTGATTTCACATTCTAATTCTTGAGCTAATCGCGTCCTTTCAATATGTTCCATTTTTAAGAAAATTTCTTCTTTTAATCCGAAAGTTCGACTAATTTAGCTGTAAGATTTTATTTGTTTTCTTTCATATTGTGAGGGTTTTATATAACTCATTTTCATTTCCCCGATTGGGAAATTTTTTTTATTTTTTCTTCTTAAATATGATGTTGATTTTAATCTTTATTTGTTTTTTTTCCCCTCTTCTTTTAAACTTTTTCCACATGATCATTTCTTTAATTGATTGAATGATCACAAGTCACAGGAATTCTCGTGACAGTCATTGAATGTTTGAGACTCATAAGAGAATTTTCTCCATGATTATGGTAGAAAATAAAGATAACTTATGTACGACAAAAATAATTTTCATACAAATAATGCTGCGTTTATAGAGGTTCTATGAAACACTCACATCAAGTGGATCTCACACGGGATCCACCAGTATAAAAAACTACAAAAACTCCACCCCAATGCTATGAGTGTTTGGTACGCGTTCCGTACGCGTTCCGTACCTATACATGAATCACCTCTCTTTTCATACTCCTTAGTACATTTATAATCAAGTATCCGATGCATATGACATTAGTAATTGTAGTGAATGCTTTTCCACCATTGGTGTCCCTATGCACGAGTTTCAAGAGTCCTAGCATACCAAAGGAAGTGGTTTAAAATTTTTTGATTTTTGGAGTTTGTACTAGTACTGATTTTATCCTTTTATTGTTGAATTCAATAATAACTAGGCTTTTTTTTTTTATTATTATTGGAGATACGATGCAAAACCTTTTAAGTTCGAAATTTTAACTATTTAAGTTTTCATTTTGTTGACATTATTATTTACTTTAAATTATCGAGTTAGTTTACTACCTGTTTGGCTTTCATTAAACTTCATTACATTACATTATATTTTTCTCTCTCCTATTTTCAATCACATAATCTTCCATAAAATAATATTACACGTAAATCGAAAAAAATTTCTTCTTTTTCAACCACTCATTTTTCAAAAAAATTATTCCACCCATTTTCATTTCTAGAAAATGAGAACCAAACGAGGGCTAAATTTAATGAATTGAGCAGCACGTTGCCTTGTTGATTCTATTTGATTATTTTAGATAAATTGTATCTTTTGAGTAGTTGATGTAATTTTTGTGATTTCATAAATCTTGCTTCACATTTTTGTTTTTTAATTTTTTTTCTTTTTTTAATTTTTTATTTTTTAAAAATCATCGATTTGATCCTTTTTCTTTTTGGGTTAGCGTCCAATAGGATTTTAAAAAATTGAATTTAATATGTTGGAGATATTCTATACAACTTTTTCTATAAAGAAAAAAACAACTTTTTGTTTTTATTTACTTTTACACAACTATTTTTAAGAAAGTGCAGAAAAGGAAAACAAAACCATGTGCTGGCATTCAAATATTTGTAGTTTTTTTGAAAGCAAACATTTATTGTTACTACTAAATATATAAAAAAATAAAAATAAAAATAAATTTTAAAGTAAAATTTCAAAATGTCTTTTGAATAAAATTCATTATACCAAAATTCTGTTTTTAGAATGTTTAATTAGTTAAAGTCATTCTGGCATTTTTTTGGCGTAATTTTAATTAAGAAGAGTACAACCAAATATTAATTCGACGGTCCAATCTCAACATCTACGTATACCGGATGGTGCCTAACATTACTATCCTATCTGAGCAATACTACACGTACAGAAATATTTTCACTGAATTTGTACAAGTGTCTCCTTATATGACTGCTGCCAATGACACATATAGAATTATTTACCCTATATTACCTTTCCAATAAGTCGCTTGACGCGATCATGCTACAGTACCATCTTTATTAACAGAGACAGTGCTATATGACAATTTGTCATTTGACTGTTTAACCACGTCTTCATTTTTATCTAACTATACATCTGTCAAAGAAAATATTAAAATTCATCTGATAAAGTAGCATAATTCCTCTTGGCAACCCGAATGATAGGACATTATGAGAACGTTTCTTAGATGTTAAAAAGTAAAAAATAATTCTTCCATATGATAAGCTTTTCGTCACAATAATTTGGGAAAATTTCATCTCCTATCAGTTTAGTAGAAATTAGAATTCAAATTTTAATCTAAGTTAAAGTCAACTTAATTTTAACTACATATTTTATTAGATCCACAAGTTTTCAACCATAAATTTTATCAACTTTTATTAAAATCTATTAAAAATCTGATTTTAATATAGACCAAACAGGACCAAACTTTTAGCAAATCTCAATTGGAACATTAATTTTATTTTTTTATTTTTTTTACCTTAATCAAAAATTAAATTTCAATTTAGTTTTAATTGGATCATTAAACTTTAAATTAGCTTCAATATTCACCAATTCGTCACCAATTTTTCTTCCAAAATTATGTAAGTTTCTTAGTTGGCAGGCATAAAACAACAAATGATATGCCCAATTGTTGCTGACATGATAACTTACCATTATGTTACGACATAAGGATGTAAAAAATTTAAAATAAAAAATAAAAAAAATCATACATTTTACCCTTTTATTCTAAAGAAATTTTACCATGTTATTTTCGGGTTTTGCTGTGACGCCCCCTATTGCCAACCTTTTATTTTCGGGGTGCCATATAGCAATTAAGTGCAAGACCATTAGGGTATGATCGTGTATTAAGCATATGTTTGAACCCAATTTTTTAAAACCTCATTTTTTCTTTTTACTCAAATTCGTTTTTCAATTATACATTTCATGGAACATATAGCTTTTATCAACTTTTCAGTCACACATTTCATCAGATTTTATCTAAATTTACTAAAATTCTATATTTTATCTAAGCCAAATTGGGACTAAGCAATTTTTACCAATTTGGGAGATGATAGGTGATGGAACGAGATTTTGATGTCAATAAAAATCTAGATTTTAATTTATGTCAAAACAGACTAAGGCTCCGTTTGGAAGTGATTTTGATAATTGATTTTTTAACTTTTCGGAGAAAAGTGAGGGCTACTTGTGAGAGAAGAAATCAAATTTCACAGTTGGAAGTGAAATAACGGTAAAAAAATCAAATTTTTAGGGTGAAAATCACTCCTAAACACCCTCTAAATCTAATTTTGAAACACCTTTAGACATGCTCTACTACAATCCAGACAAGAAATAAATTTCACCACAAAAAAATAAAATTTAGACTGTAGAGAACGCCAGGAAATTGGAATAACTGCAACACGAAATCAAAATTTCATAGAATCGCTTTAAGAAAGTTGGTACTAGCTTTACTTTATGTTAGGACATAGGACAGAAAAAGAGTCACAAGGCTAAAGCACCTTTCCCTGGTTACTAGTCAGTCGATCTATCTATATAATGCAAAAATAAAGCAGACATCAACACAGAACCCATTGGCACAATTCTGGAAGTGATTCAAAATCCATTTTCTTTGATACCATATACAAGTTACAACTGCACATCTTTGATGCTCAAAAAGTCGCAAAACACGGAGAAATGGATGCCGCCGGAGGAGCTATGGTATTGTTTGTTGCAGTCGCGATGGCTAGTTTTATCATAATTCATGTGTATGGGGACACTTTGCTCGCTATGGATCAATATTTTCTTGTCCAACACGACACGCATCACCAACCCAAAGCGTTTAAAGCTTCATTATATCGACCCAATTCGATGTTTGCTTCACCAATGCAGGCTACTTCACCTCCTCCAGTGTATCATTTGACGTCTTATGGCGCAGACCCAACTGGGAAAACAGACAGTACAGAAGCACTTGTTAAAGCATTATCAGATGCACTTGATGGTCCAACAAATGGGTTCCTGATGGAGGGAATTCTTAATCTTGGTGGTGCTAAGATTGAACTTGATGGTGGAAATTACTTGATCAGCCGTCCACTTCAATTTTCTGTTGCTGGAAGAGGGAACCTAGTGGTACGTTTCCCTTGAAAACATTTAGTTAAGGTCACATGTATGTCATTTAAATGTTACTTCATCTAGCATGTTAGAGAGTAGTCGCCTTATTTGGCATACACATGACAGCTTGTTATCTATGAAAACGACTACCAATAATCCTCATTATGAATAACATTATTCTATGCCAAATCCTAAGTAGAATTTTGAACCATTTAGTTTGACTAATATGGAACATAAGCTAAAATCAAGGCAACATTCATGGCAGATACAGGGAGGAACAATAAAGTCATCAGATAATTTTTCAAACGGCACCTACTTGATAGACTTGTCTCCGTCCTCAGTCAACAACTCGTTGAAATATAACTACGAGTTTGTAACACTAAGAGACCTCTTACTCGATTCTAATTTCCAAGGTGGAGGAATTCGAGTGGTGAACTCATTGAGAATAAGCATAGACAACTGCTACATTACACATTTCACCACCAATGGCATCCTAGTCCAAGGTGGTCATGAAACTTATATCAGAAACTCCTTTCTTGGCCAACATATTACTGCTGGTGGTGATGCCGGGGAAAGAAATTTTTCGGGCACGGCGATAAATCTAATGGGAAATGATAATGCAGTTACTGATGTGGTAATATTTTCAGCTGAGATTGGAGTAATGGTTTCAGGTGAAGCTAACACACTTTCCGGTGTACATTGTTACAATAAGGCCACTGGATACGGGGGTACCGGGATTTATCTCAAGGTGCCATCTGGTTTAACACAAACTCGAATTGTGAATTGTTACTTAGACTACACTGGTATTGTTGTTGAAGATCCTGTCCAAGTACACATTTCTAGTAGCTTTTTTCTTGGAGACGCGTATATACTTCTCAAACCCGTGAAGGGTGTTGCGATTGGAGTAAATATCGTGGATAACATGTTTTCAGGTTCTAATAAGGGTGTCGATAACGTACAATTAGATAAACAAAATGGGACTTTTACGAAGATTGATCAAGTTGTGATTGATAGGAATAATGTGAATGGGATGAATCTTAAGGCCACGGTTGCTAGGCGAAGCGTGCAAGTAAATGGAAGCTCATGGCTAGTAGACTTCAATTCAGTGCTCTTGTTTCCAAATCTTATTAAGCAACTACATTATACATTGGAAGCAAAAGGGAATTCCTTCCCTAAACATGTACTGAGAAATGTGTCAAATAATCAAGTGCTGATCGAGTCGAACGTGCCGGTTGAAGGAACTATTTATATAACATCGGATCAAGGAAGTTAATTCACTATATTTGTTTATTTATTTATTTCTAGTTCTATAATTCGGATGACAATTTCCTTACAGTAGTAGTATAGTACTGTTGTTATGAACAAGAACCCACATATTGTTTAGGTCTAAATTCCAGTCAATTGCAAGAAATAACTGCAAAAACGTAAGAAGACAAATTTACTTTGTCCCTTCCACTACAAAGGTGTACATCTCCATTGATCATCCACCAGAGGAAAAAAGCTAAAAGCAGTAGAGAAAAATAAGTTTACTCCACGAATTCTTAAAGGTACAACATCCCGTGAAGTTGAAAGTTGGAAAGAAAGATGAAAGATGGCGTTGAATCTTGAATCTTTTCTTATTTGGCCCATGTTTGAGCCTCATTTTGGTAAGAAAATGTATTTTGAAGTAGTGATTTTTTTTCGGGAATGTATGATAAAAAAGGAGGAAAACGTTTTGATTTTCATGTAGATTTATTTTACAAGAGAATGTTTGATTGAAATGAGTTTTGAAAAAAAAAAATTTTAAAAATGGGGCCAAACATAGGCTTAATCTTCTCCTTCTCCAAGTTCAAGCAATCGGGATGTGCTTGGCGTACACCCCACACCCATGTGATTGTATGAACACCCTTATATACATAAAATTATGTACAAATAGATTTATCCCAAGCAATAATGTATGGAAAGATGTGGATTTGGTGGTTTGCAACAAAAGTTTCTTCAAAGATTTACAAGGAATATAAATATAAATATGTTTGAACTCCTATGCTCTTTTCTCTATTGAAATACTTGGAATGCATTTGCAAGTGCTTTCTAGAAAAAAAAAAAAAAGATTGAATCCCAATCTTGAGGGCCCCCAACGCCTCGTCCCTGGAGTATCGTAAGGGAGGTAAATCACGGGATGTATCCCAATATGCCAGGGAAAAAGAGTTTGTCCGTACACTGGTGCACACAAAGAGTTCAATTTCATAGCTCAGGAATCGAACCCTCACACTGCGGCTGCCAACAAGACTGAGACTACCTCACTCCTATCCTTTACACCACTGGATTATACCCCCCATATGCAAGTGCCTTCTAACTTCCTCCTTAAATTGTAAATGAAGGAATCTATTTATAGACTAAGAATTAGATAAAAATGGGGCCTTAATTGCCTTCAAAGAAGATGTTTAACAAAACAAGGAAAAAAAGAAAAATTTGATGTCAAAATGCACTATGCGATTACACAAAAGTAGATCTGCTTGCGACTACACATGCTTGTCTATTTGCTTTCAGCTTCTGATTGGGATGCCCTTGCGATCCATTAGCAAGGCATAGTCTTTTTCTTCCATTGTACTTTGGTCCCAGGATTTCCTTCTTTATTCAGCCCGAGTCCCTTCTTATTTGCACATTTGATCCTTCGTTTTAGAATCTTCGTAATTTAATCATTCATAGTTAAGTTTGGAGAGTTTGTAATTAAGTCCTCAAACTTTCAAACATTGAATTTAACTCCCGAAACTTGTGAATCACATTTGATTTCTCCATTAATGCTTTCAATTTATCAATTGCAATCCGATTAATCATTAATTGCTCAGAATTAACTCCAATATAGCTACAAAATCACATTTTTCACACCAATTACATTAAAATACATCCAAGTCGAGAATTGACATACAATTACCATATTTTAAGTTGAATTAGGTAGATATCTATTCAAATAGCAATAAATAAGCTAGTATAGAAGTCCAAAAAGTATATTAAATACACTTATCACACCCCAAATTTAAATTCTTCTTCGTCTCGAGCAAGACAATAAACTAAATACACAAGCAAGCAAGCAAACATAAATGTCAAGGATAACTTGCCAAACTCACATCGATTAATTATATTATTTGACAATTCACAAAGGTTCATAAGTAATGCTACTAAAACTAATTCTCACTTATTCAATGCTCGATCGAGGTATGTGTATATGGTCAATCAAATCATTATACAATTCGAAGTAGGTTACTTTGTGGGATGCACATCAACTTGTTTTTCAATGTTCACCCAAGGTGTTTAATCGAAGGTTGATTTTAAACCACTCATTTCCTTCCAACACAAGTTTAGTTGAATTTCACAAATGAAAGTTATTATCTCCATATGTGATGATTTTCCATAAATTTGACTATATCAACCTCCAAGCTTCAACTAGAATATAAGCCTTACTAGAAATCTAAATTCACAATAAGAATCCAAGATTTAGCCGTACAAAACGGTGCTTACATTATTTTATCATTACATCAGCACACTTTAGTATTTTTTTCTTTTCTGTCCTATATTTTGTGTCCCTTTATCTATATGTCGGGATCTTTTTCTTGATTGTTGAAGGTAGTTTTTACATGAAATAACATCTATAATAAAATGAAATCTAACATCAATATATTTAGATCTATTATGTAAAATAGAATTTTTACTTAAATGAATAGTTGATAGCTATCAGAATAAAGAACAACTTCTTTAATAAAGCCAAATTCATTTAATAGGCCTTTTTAACCACATTCTCTCTTTTATAGCATTAGTTGCAGCTATATATTCTACCTCAGTGGATGATAAGGCAACAATCTTTTGATATTAGGATTCCAACTTGTATAGGAATCGCACATAATATACATATAAACAGAAGTGAATTTTCTGTTATCTCTATTACCTACATATAGGGATGTCAACTAGTCGAGCCAGCTCGCAAGCCAAAACTTGAGGCTCGGGCTCGGCTCGAGTAAAAATGGTTTGGACTTTTTTGGCTTGAGCTGAGCAAATCGACCCGAGCTGGCTCATGTATTTTTTATATAAAATGCAAATAGGCAGCTTGCACTTGCTATCTTTTGCATGCATGTTTAGCTGGCTGTAGCTTTCATATTTCTTTAAGGGTTGTCTCATCATGGGGCCGAAAATGGTTCGTGACACAAGTCGGCCCGTATGGCTCTGGCTCGGGCTTGGGCCAACCCTCTAAAATGGGGCTCTGCTCGAGCCTTGAGCCGGGTTGCCCTAACCGATGAGCCAAATTGACATACCTGCCTGTATAGCCAGAATCAATATATCCTCTCAAGACAACACCCTTACATTGTTTTCCAAATTGAATTCTTAAATCAAAAGTACCATTGATGTATCTAGGAAGCCATTTCATAGCTCCCACTGATCTTATCTAGGATTGGACATATATTTACTTAAAACACTTATAGAATATGCCAAATCAGGTCCGAAGCAAATCATTAGGTATGATACGAACCCAACTGCACTAGAGTATGGCACTTTTGCCATTCTTTCTAACACTTCTTTTGATTTAGGACATTGTTCATTTGAAAGTTTAAAATGATTTGCTAAAGACAAACATACACTGTTAGAATTAGGCATAGCAAAAATTTTCTAACAATTTCAGCATGTTTGATTTCTAACTGAGACTTAGTGTTTATTCTCTTCTATTTCTCTTAATTTCAATACCTAAAATCTTCTTGGAAGGACCTAAGCCTTCATTTCAAATTCAGATTTCAATTTATTTTTGATTAACTCAATCTCTTTTAATCCCAACAGCGCCATTGTAAACAACCCCAGGGTGCGCAGCTAAAAGAGTGTCATCTGCATAGAGGAGAAAAGGAGCTCGGAGTGTACATGAGAGAAGCAAGGAGTAGATAGAGTAAATCTTCTCTACCATTTCCTTTGAAATAAAGACAAGTATAAAAATTACTTCTCTTAAAACCAAGTTCAAGTACAAAAATATCATATCTCTTGTACCATTGTCTTGGAGTTTATTTAAGCTATATAGAGATATATTAAGAAGGCATAATAAATCGAATTTCTTGATTTTTTTCAAAACCTTTTGGATGTTTCATGTAAATGACTTCATCATGATCACCATTTAAAAAGGTTGTTTTGACATCCAGTTGATCCAATTCTCAGTTAAACTGTGTGGCTAAGGTTAGGATTACTCTAACAATTGAAAAATTTACAACTGGAGATAATATTTCATTGAAATATATTCCCTCTTTTTCAATAAAGTCTTTTGCTACAAGTCTAGTTTTGTATCTAATGTCATTCTCATTTTGTTCTGCTCTTTTAATTTTAAAAAATAATTTACTAATAACAACTATTTTACCCTCGGGTCTTTTAATGAGAACCCATGTTTTATTCTTATTAAGAGATTGCTACAAGCTAGTGGTTAGAATCTTTGCTACTCGTAACTTATCAAAAAAATCAGGTTCATTTCTAATCAGGCTTTGAAAAGTTAAGAGAGGAGCCTCTTCAACAAACCTAATAGGAGGTCTAATCTGTGCCTATCCTTGGCTTGCTGATAATCATTCAAAGGTTAATTTGTTTCCAAATCAACTTATGATTCATCAACAGAAGCTACATCATATGTAGTTTCTTTCTTTCTTTCAATGAATTGAGCATCAGTCTAATGAGTTTAATCATCGAAATGCTCCACTTCAATTTCAATCTCTCTCTTTCTCTCTCTGACTTAAGGATTCCGATGTTTTCTCAATTTTCAGACGTGGAAGATCATCTTCATTAAATACAACATTTCTACTTGTTATGTTCTTATATCCTTTCATTTTCCTTATACATAGTCTATACCCCTTTACTCCTTCACCATAACATAGGAAAACACACTTTAGATCCCTAGGCTCTAACTTGCCCTCAGATTGATGTACAAAAGCTGCACATCCATATATTTTCAAATTGCTAAAATCAACAAGTTTTTCACTCCATATCTCTTCAGGAGTTTTAAAATGTATAGCACTAGTAGGGCTTTTATTAATGAGATGACTAGTAGTTTTAACAACGTCCTCCCAAAATAACTTGGGAAGATCAGAACTTAGAATTATGTATCTAACTTTGTCAAGAATAGTTCGTTCCTTCTTTTAGCCAAGCCATTTTCTTGTAGAGTGTGTGTCACAGTTCCGTATCTTAACATACCAGATAGTTTACACAAATCATCAAATTCAAATTACAGACCTCTAAATATAATCTTTTTATCAGTTTGATTCTCAATTAAAGTTCCCAATTCTTTGAAAATATTGAAAGTATCATACTTTGATTTTAAAAGAAAATTCTATTTTCTCTAGAAAAATCATTGATTATTAAAAGAAAGTATTTGAAACCAGTATGAATTGAAACAGTAGCTAGTCCCCAAAGATCAGCATGTAAATGCTCAAGTATAGACACAAATGTATGCATTCCAGGTAAAAATGGTAGTCCGTTATGCTTTCCTAAGTAGCAAAAATAAAAGTAAAAATTAAGTTTCTCAATATTATCTTTTTCAAAGGCACTTCATTTTTCCAAAATCTGCAACCCTTTGTCACTAATATGACCCACTCTTTTGTGCCATATTTGTCACTTGTCATTTTGAATAGAGATTGTTGTTA